ACTGATAAATTAGGGACAGCTAGTGCAGATAGCCCTTGTGTAACTTTGCACAAAATGTCCAAACAAACCATATCAAATCATTAATAATTGTTCACGCCTCATATAGTGACATCATAAAAGGGTTAAGAACAAAGTCTGTAGTAATAAAAGCAATAACAGGGAAGGAAAATCATGTGAGAAACAAGACATAAATAATATTCTCAAGTGATGATAGTTTCCTAGCAAAAATATAAACATATACTTTGGTATAGGCAAAAAAGTTATAGGTGTTATGAGGGGGCAAGATCCATATAGGTCTTTAAAACTTAGTTACTATGTGCCTTTGAAAAAAGATACAAGAAACCAGGCTGGAGAGTTTTACTTTTTAATCTAGTGTTTTCCTCAGTTTATGAATTAAGTAGTTTGTTTAAAAATGTGTTTGAATAAAGCATGCTAAAAAGTATTTTATAATTTTCATGCAGGATGAAAAAAACATCGAAGTACCAGTAACAGGACCTGCCCTGAAAAAACCTGATACAGAGGAGGATTTAAAATCAAGGAGAGAGGAGGAATTGAAAACATTGCAATCTGAAGTTGATGAACTCTCCAGACAATTAGAACAACTTGAACTTCAAATGAAACAGTACAATGCATCTTTACAACAGGTTTTTCTTTTTCATTCCAAATTCTCCAAAGGCTTTAGTTAAGGATATGTTTTTTATCATACTATGTACAGCACTGATGAAAACTTAGTTCCTATTACTCACAAATATTTTAGAGCAGCCCTTTGAGAATGCAATGAACATATTGTAAAGCGATGATGTTGAGAACTAACAAATATACTTGTAATCGTGAACGGATGTTACAGAATTCCCATATGACATTTGTTGATCTATGTAATAGTCTCAATGAGTGTCAAATGATTAGAAATGACAAACACTTCAAGTAATCAAAAAACACTTTCAACCCTTTTGCAACGGGTGCCCTTTAAATCCCTTTCTATGTTAAGTCACTGAGTTACATTCAAAATTTAATTAAACAACTTTACTATCAATGTATGTCAATGAAATTAACATTATAATGTGTAAGATACTTTGCCAAAAGCTTGCACATCTCTCCTGAAGATATTGTAATATGTCCTGAGGGCATCATTGACTAGTGTCGAGTTTAATAATAAATGGTAAAGGACAGGAATGGGAAATAAAACATTAAGAAGAAAGTATATGTTAAAAAGAAAAGACCTGAAATTACAAATATCAACAAAATATATTTTAAGATATTCTGCAAAAAATTAGAAAGTGTGAAAATTTTTTTGTTTCTTCATTTTTAAAATTTCATTTCACTCTATATTTATGATATCTACAGTTAGTGATATGGTAGAGAAAATGAAAAGTAAAATATAAACATTTACCTTAAAATCTTTTTATATTCATTTAGGAGGTTCTAGAGATTATACAAATAAAACTCGACACTGTAAGATGAAGAAAAGTATTTTTTATACTTAAAATAAAAATCACCTTGCACTCAAACTATTCATAGTCTGAGTACAAACAAGTACAATAAATAGATAACATATTTTTAGTAGAAAGACTTAATTAAAATAATGTCATTCTTTGTGTACAAGATACTTATAATCTTTAACAAAATTTTGTGAGTATGTTAAGAAATCTGAATTATGTTATGTATTGTTGAGGTTCCTGCAAATTATAGGAAACCATTACAAAAGTAAGTACTGAAGAATTAAAAACAAACTGATATTATGAAACAGAATAGTTTTCTAAATTGTTGAGATTCTTTGCAAATTAATCAGTAGTTGTTAAGTGTTCAATAGAATACTATGTGAATATTCTTGCAAAAATAGTTGTTTATTGTTTTCAAACATGTTACACGATACACTCCTTAGAATATGATGATAAGCTATTTCAAATAATTAGTAATCTATATTCTTATGCTTTGTGCAGCTCTGTGTGGTACTTATGTACAAAGTTTATAAAGTATAAAGACTACTTTAAGTTAGTAAAGTGTGTACTTGTTAAACTCAGCATTAAAGATTTGGTATATATATCTCTCAGATACAATAGTTTAAAATAGTTCAATAATTCCTGTGCTAATACAGTAATACCTAGCCATTCTAAGTTATCATTCAATTGGATTTAGCTAATAATTCATTCAATTTGCCATGAGAAATAACTTCCTGTTGATGATCTAGAAGGTTTCTGGAAGTTGAATGGTGGTTTAATTTTTTTGTTCATTTGTTTTGTTTTGGAGACTTTCAAAGATATTTTTTAATCGTATTAAATTTTGCTACATAAGTTATATATATATATACACTTAATTGTATAGCCTAATTATATTATATTAGGGGACTGTGTTGCATGCAGTATCATTCATAAATATAATCCTTCAGTGTATAAGTCATAATGAATTATTTCAGAAGAATATTGAATCCATAAATGTAGTTTATTAATTATGCATATTGTTTCTAGTGTAATCATCATAGACGGTGTGAATGGTTACTACATAGATTGAGACAACTTTTCATTTTACCACTGTGTTTATATATACATTAGTTTTCCAACAAATCTCTGGTTGTAAGTAGTGACCAGTCTCAAACTTCAAAGTATTGCTTGTTTCTAAAGTGAAATAATCATTTTGATAGAATAATTCAGGATTATTATTTTTGGACCTAGATTGGTGAACAAATTCTCTGTGAAGAAGCCAAAAACAAAGAGCTAGAGGAAATATATAAGCTGAGGAAGAGAACTTTTGACCTTCTTCCTGATGCTGATAATAACCTTAAAAAACTACAGGAGGTAGTGGAAGCCAGTGGTCAGCGACTTGTGGTGTTGGCTAGACAGTGGGAGAAACATCGTGCACCTCTCATTGAACAGTACCGCCATTTGAAGGAATTAAGCTCTCAGCGACTGGTAAGACTTTTGCATTACGGACATTTTATTCTCAAAGGAATTTCTTAAAGCTTTGTTTATACATATTTTAGATTCTAAATACTGTTTAACCTTATTGTGCACTGCAGGGTCAAAGTGCTCATGTCATGACCTTTTATAGAGTTACATTCAAAATTTAATTAAACAACTTTTTTACTAACATATGTCAAAACAGCTGGTCATGCCATTCTGCCTTTCAAAAAAATGACAGTAATTCTCTGTGACATTGCTATTAAGTTATTTATAAGTAACAGTAATTCTCTGTGACATTTCTATTAAATTATTTATAACTAACAGTAATTCTCTGTGACATTGCTATTAAATTACTTATAAGTAACAGTAATTCTCTGTGACATTGCTATTAAATTACTTATAACTAACAGAAAGAGCAGTTTTTTCTTTAAAAGATTCCTTGTACAGTTATTTTGTTTTGGTGCCCGCAAGTAGATGTTTAGCCGCATTTTCATCATTTGCATTCCTGTTTTTTTTCTCTGAGCTGTTATGATGAATAATTGTTTGATGTAATCTGGAGTCATTCTATAAAAGAAAGAAAATATTGTTGATTTTATTTCTTATTTGCTTGAAATTTTTTTTTCAAGCTGTACCTTGATTTCACTGCAATTAGTGATAGGATAGAGAAAGTAAGAGATAAAATATAAATTTTTAACGTATGCCACACTTCTATTCATTTCTGTATTTTGAAATGTACACAAAATGCATACCTGTAAATGAACTTTGATTTAATCCTCGGCATGTTTTTCTTTTTTATATTTGGTAAATCTGCAAAATTTATAAGTAAATTGTTTGCTAATTGTCAGATGATACTTAAGGTATGACTAGCTTTGGATTAAAATAAATGATAATATGACAGTATACCAGTTTTTGTTACTTTTTGCTGTCTTTAATACACACCCACAAAAAATGTTTGCATAACTTCTTATTTTGAAATTAAGCAAAATGTCAATATATTACTGTTGTGATAAATATCAGCTGAAATTTCTTATGAGAACTTATGATTGAAAGTAAAGAAAAATGTATAACAACATGTCAACCACATTATATCTGTTCTATCCACTGCCATTGGTTCTTTCAACCAATTTCTGGATACATCAGGCTGGTTGAGACATGACAGACATAGTAGTGGTTGAGATTCTATTTGCATTATAAAATTGCATGAACAACAACTGTTATTGAGTGAACTAGATTAAGTTGGTGAAGTGCAATTTTTAAAAATTTTATTTAAGTTGTTTTACAAATCAAAATTAAGGAAAGAATCAATAAAAAAGTTACATATGAAGAACTAATAGTAACAACTTGTGAAGAAATTTTCTGGTGAATTTTTGAAAAGTTATCTGATTTATCAAAAGCTACTTGAACTTGAATCAAGCCTGAAGTGAAAGCAGAAGTGCGTACTTATATTACAATTAGGCTTAACATATTTGAATAAGAACTTATACTTAAATGATCTCATGACACTGCTCATAAGAAAAGTGAGGAATGGCTTTCACATATTTTATTTATATCTAATGTTATTTATAGAGTGAAACACAAAGGAAATTAGAAGAAATCAAATCTCTGAGAGAGAAAATGAAAGACTGTGCTGATGAAGCTAGAAGTAAAGATGACCTTTACAAGCAGCTGGTATGTTTATGATAGTTAATTTTAATATTTTTACTCCTTGTAGGATGATTTTTGAAAACCTTCTCTTCATGTGTTAGAGGTTTTAAAAAGTAACAAGATGGTATCTGATAGAATATTTATTAACAATATATCAAATAACATATTATCAAACTTCATAGTTTTATAAAGTTCACAAATATTAATAAAGCATATAAAGACCAGACTAGGTGTATGCTGATGCAAAACAAAACATTTAAACAAATTGCTTAAACCTTTTGAAAACTGATTATTGAACAAGAAAGAATGAATGTTAAGTATTTGTTTTTTAATGTCTAAATATTCAGTACACAAATAGTCTGTAAAGTTTTCTTATTAACTTTGTCTGACAATACCAAGGGACAATGGAAACTTATATCAAAATAGAAGTATGTGTAATTCCTTCTAGAGCTGGAGGATTAGTGGAATTTGCTAATCCTATTAATCTGGGGCTCATTAATTGATTACGTACAACTAAACAGCTATTTTCATTAATCTTTCTATTTTCAGCTTTTTTTTTAAGACATTTTTGAACTACCCTTCATTCTACCTAATAGATATTTTCAGATACAACAGTTTAGGATTAAATTACTTTTTTAATCCTGAACTGTTATATATGAAAATGTATCATATACACAACATAGTACAAAACCTATAACAAGCTGAAAATATAATTAATATCATTTATGGGTTTCTCCTTACATAACTTCAGAAGACTATTAATACTGATCTTTTTTTTTTTTATTAGAATAAACATTACTCCGTGGCATTGATCATAAATTAGAAAATACTAAACACAACTATGACTAGTAAAATTACTGGTAAATACAAATTAATGTAAATAATGTATGCTTAATTATGGTATTAAATTTACAATTTTACAAAAACAGTCATAGGTGATCAAGCATGTGATAATGAACAGAACAGACACAAGTACATGTAACCAATCAAGCATGTGATAGTGAACAGAACAGACACAAGTACATATAACCAATCAAGCATGTGGTAGTGAACAGAACAGACACAAGTACATATAACCAATCAAGCATGTGG